TACTTTAGTGGAAACAACATAATCATAGCACAAACACCCTGAGCAAAAAAGAGCAGAAAGATTTAAAGTGTTAAAGGGAATGACGCTTTAATAACCTATCAAATATTGTGCATCTTTGTTTTTGAGGTTTGCTAACTTATAGTATAAACTGTAAATTTATGATGTTGATTCTTTAGTAACAAACACTGTTTTATCCACTCATGATGTTACTGTTTGAACCTGCTGCACTCCCTGTTTGTCCAAACAACTAACTAAGACTAAAGCTCACAGCACTCATGTGCCTCCATATCTTCAGGAGCTTGGCAGATAATCACTGGTTCTTCAGTGTTGGACATCAGCTCATGTCCAATCACTTATTATGGACAGAAGTACGAGCAAATCTATGTGAGTATCCCGATGTTTTTATGTTTTAATCAATTCTGTCATCCCCACCTGTGCTGATGAGTATCGCCTCGATATACCTCCTGAGATTTTCTAGCAGGAGGACATTTTTGTTCAAGAATTATTTTATATTATTCTTTTATGAATGAGAAAATAATGAAACAAAAACTTCTCACAGAAAAAGGTGCTCAAATATGAAGAAAAAATTAAACCTCATGAAGGAGACCTAAACTCTTCACTTTTTCTTATCTCATTGAGGCGGCCGTTTTGATGTGATGCCTGTGAGAGACACCCCATGCATCGTTCATGTAGATCATTATTAATGGGTTAAATATGTATTTTATGCTTGTCTTTCTATATTTTATTTCTTTCTATCTTGATATTAAGCAGCCAATTTGGCTTTCAATTAAATATATAAACAATGTTTTCATCTTTGTAACAGTGGAATCAATATATTAAAATTGATCCTCTGGGTCTGACTGGATCTATGGTAGGTAGAAGGCACATCAACATCCGTCCATCTATGCTGCAGTTTTTGCCGTTATCAGAGAGATAACCATGTTTGCTAGTATGGCAGGGTGTAGGTTGTAGCTGGGCTGGCCCGGAGGGGTGGAGCAGTGGGTTCAGGGTGTGATTACTGGAGAGGCTGATGCCTCCCCTAATTGAGTACGATACCAGGACCTGACAAGAGCTGTGCGTCATGCTGAGCTACAAGAGGCAACTAGTGGGTTTGTAGAAAAGACGTGGTATCACTGATTAGTTGTGTCTTTGACTTCTAACAGGTCGCCTTCATGAGTGAAAACATTGCATTCTGCTTCGACAACTTTTTCAACCCTGAAACTGGAGGTGACTGTCTTGTGGGAACTGCACCTGACTCAGACAGCATTGAGTTTTGGATAAATGAACCCAATGCTGAAATCCAAAAGCTGATTTATGACAATGTAGCAACCATCCAGAACAGGATGGAATGCTATGTGTTGTTTATCATGGAGCTCAATGGGGAAAATGTGAGTTGTTTTAGACTAAATTAACTGTGTAAGAACAAAAAATAAAATTTTACATGATTTTTTTTTTATCATATTAAACATTGGTGAACACTTTCAGAATTCCTAATAGTGTCTGAATCGTCTCTGTTTACTTTACAGTATGGTTTGGTTCCAGTTAATTTTGGGACACAAACGGTTTTGATTGTGGAAATATTGGCATTTGGTTCAGTGGTGAGTCTCTGCATGTGACAGATAATAAATAACATGTTAAGATATTGACAAAAACAAAAAACAACTAGAACATCAACAGAAAACCCCCCAAACACACACACATTCAAAAAAAAATCTGTAGTAGACTTAAGTTTCCATATCAGTAAGGATCACTCAGACATGTTTATTTCACAAGTAGATAAAGATTTTTATCCATTCTTCTGTCTGAAATCAGTTGTCTTTACTCTGTGATTGTAACATTGTTTGTGTTTATTTCTGTCTAGGCATTTGAGGCTCAGGTTGGTGGTATCACAATTGATATAATGGCTGTTTCGTTCGGTCCCAGCAATCGTCAGTATCAAAGATTCTTTGACATCAGTGGATGCCGATATGCTGGTTGGTGAATCTCAGGCTTCAAAACTTGACCCATGTGTTCTGTATTTCAATGTTACCATGATGTTTCTGTCAGTTGTTATTAAACTAGTCAGTGATCTTTGAGTTTTTAAACTAAACTAAACCCTCATTTCAGGTGGTTTGTATGAATACGGTGCAGTGCTGAGCTCAGATCTGGAAACCTGCTCTAGTCTCACCTGTTCTGACACTGCTGCTCTGCAGATCTCTGGCTGTGGCTCTCTGGAGCGTTGTGAAGGCAACGGCATGTAAATATATCTCTTTGTATTTCAAAGAAACGTCTGTGATCACTTTCTTACCTTTAGCTGGTCCCCACAGA